ATGTCTCTCCTAACAGAGATGATTAGATCGTCCGCACAGGTATCAAAATCTTTCTTTAACGTGTGTTCTGTCGATGAAACATCACCACGATAATGAACGAAGGTGTAATGATCGTTGATAGCACGAAATTGAGATAATTTACAATTATTACGGCATAATGTTTATTAAAATTATAGAAAAATATACGTATGAGTATCTACTCATATTTTCAATTGTCAATCACTATTACTTCTCGCATTTGTCTCAAGAAAAATCTTTGCGAATATCGTGTAATGTTGTTTGGTGTCTGAGTAGATTCCATTTATGTCCGAATTTTTTCTTGCATTTATCGCATGCAAAATCTTTTCGATCTTCGTGAACTGTCCTTTGGTGGTAAAGCAAATTTGATTTTTTTCCGAACTTTTTCTCGCATTTCTCGCATTCGTAATCCTTGCGACCTTCATGTATTGTCCTATGATGTTCGAGCAAAGTAGATTTGAATGTAAATTTCTTCTCGCATTTGCCGCATTCAAAATCTTTACGACCTTCGTGAACGGTCCTTTGGTGTATGAGCATATTCGATTCTTGTCCGAATTTCTTTTCGCATTTCTGGCATGCGTAATCTTTGCGACCTTCATGGACTGTATTTTGATGGATGAGCAAATTCGATTTGAATCCAAATTTCTTCTTGCACTTGTCGCAAGCGTAATCTTTGCGACCCTCATGGACTGTTCTGTGGTGTCTGTTCAAATCAGATTTTATTCCATATTTCTTCTCGCACTTGTCGCAAGAGTAATCTTTGCGACCATCATGGACTGTTCTTTGGTGTCTGTTCAAATCGGATTTTATTCCAAATTTCTTCTCGCACCTGTCACATGCGTAATCTTTGAAACCTTCGTGTATTGTTTTTTGATGCCTTATCAAATGCCATTTTTTTCCGAATTTCTTCTCACACTTATCACATTCGTAATCTTTTCGACGATCGACCCTTTCGACTTTTATTTGGTCAAAGAGCAAGAGTGATTTTTTTCTATATTTCTCCTCACCGTTGTCGCTTTCGAAATCTTTGCGACCCTCGTGTACAGTCTTTTGGTGCCCGATCAATTGAAATTTTCTTCCGAATTTCTTCTCACACTTATCACATGCGTAATCTTTCCGACCTTCTTTAACTGTTTTTTGAAGAAAAAGCAAACGCGATTTGTTTCTCAATTTCTCCTTACTTTTGTCACATGCGAAATCTTTGCCTCCATCGTGTACTGTCTTTATGTGCCCGAGCAAACTCTGTTTATTTCCAAACCTCTTCGCACATTTTTCACATAAATAATCTCTGAAAACTTCATGGAATATTTTGTTGTGCTTGAATAAAGTCGATTTGTTTTCAAATTTCTTCTCGCACTTGTTGCACGTGAAATTTTTGTGATCCTTATGTAATAATTTTCGGTGCGTTACCAGACTCGATTTCTTTACAAATTTCTTCTCGCACTGGTCACATGCAAAATCTTTGCGGCGCCTGTGCTCTGATATTAGGTGTCTACTCAAATGACTTCGGAACTCAAAATTCTTTTCACACTTATCACAAGCGAAATTTTTTTGTTCATTGTGAATTGTGTCTTGGTGTCTTATCATGCTCGATTCCAGTGTAAATTCGATCTGACAAATGTCACAGATGTGTTGTTTGTCGTTTGAATCAACATCGTCGCCTCCACTTAAGTTATTTTTCGAGGTAACTTCTTCTGTTTTCATACCAATTTTATCCATTTTAGTGTCCTAATAAAATGATAAGTCCTTCTATTTAATGCTACCAAAATTTAACGAGTAAAATTTATCTTCTAGTATTATGGCTTGCTTCGTTGGGAAAGACAAAATTCATACTAATTTATTTTCAGTGTATACATGATTAGTGTTCAGTGCCAAGATCGTTTATGATTGTATTATACTTAATTAAGTTACCGATTTTTCTGTTTATACATTGTTGTTACAACATTTAAGACAATTTTAAATGTTAACTTTAATTATTACGATTCGAGGAATTTTTTGGCCTTTCACAATTAAGTATTTCCCAAAAACTTTCCGACAAATCACATCGTGTTTAAGCAAAAAACATCGAGTGAATAAATCCTTACACACATGTTAAAAGAAAAAATATAATATGAATTAACAGCTTGTAATAATGGTTGATCGCCCAAGGTTCAGGTGATACCCGATCATATCAGCACAATTTTTATTGAAATTTTAGAAAAGCACATGTAAAATATTTATACATATTTACAATTGTCAATCATCACTTTTTCTCGCAATCGTCTCATCAAAATTTATTTAATCTTCGTGGACTCTTTCTTGGTGTCTTAGCAGTTGAATTTTTTGCCCGAATTTTTTTTCGCATTTATCGCATTTGAAATCTTTACAACCTTCGTGGACTGTCCGTAGGTGAACGAGCAAATTTCTTGGAACTCCAAATTTCTTTTCACACTTGTCACATGCATAATCTCTTCGACCCTCGTGTGTTACTTTCTGGTGGGTCAACAAATAGAATTTATTTCCGAATTTTTTTTCACACTTGTCGCATGCGTAATCCTTGTGACCTTCGTGTATTGTTCTTTGGTGTAAAAGCAAGTTAAATTTTTGGGTAAATTTCTTAGCACATTTTTCGCATGCGTGATCTCTGCGACCTTCGTGAACTGTAGTTTGGTGTCTAATCAAAGACGATTTTGTACCAAATTTCTGCTCGCAATTGTCGCATGCGTAATCTTTGCGACCCTGATGAACTGTGTTTTGGTGCTTCAACAAATCTGATTTATTCCCCCATTTCCTTCCACAATTGTCGCATGCAAAAATTTTTCTACCTTCGTGTACTATTCTTTGGTGCTTCAACAAATTTGATATAATTCCAAATTTTATTTCGCACTTGTCACATGCGTAATCTTTTCGACCAGCGTGTACTACCTTTTGATGTTTGATCAAAGATCCTCGTTCACGGAATTTTTTTTCGCAATGGTCGCATGCAAAGTCTCGGCAATCTTCATGAACGGCCCGTTGGTGATAGAGTAAATGCGCTTTTTGTCCAAATACTTTTTCGCACTTGCCGCATGCATAGTCTTTCCGACCTTCGTGTACTATCTTTTGGTGTTTGGTTAAAAAATATTGTTGTGTAAATTTCTGCTCGCACTTGTCACATGCGTAGTCTTTGCGACCTTCATGTACTGTTTTCTGATGCTTCGACAAATTTGAATTAGTTCCAAATTTCTTCTCGCATCTATCGCACGTGAAATCCTTGCGGCGCTCGTGAACTGTCTTCATGTGTACGGTCAAACTTTTCTTTTCTGTAAATTTTTTCTCGCACCTTTCACATGCAAAATCTTTGTGACCTTCATGAACTCTCCTTTGGTGTAAAAGCATGTGAGATTTTTGGGTAAATTCCTGACCACATTTTACGCAAAGGTAATCTTTGCGACCATCGTGTATTACTTCTTGGTGCCTGATCAAATTCAATTTTCTTCCAAATTTCATCTCACACTTATCAAATGTGTAATCTTTCCGACCCGCTTGGACTGTTTTTTGGTGAAAGAGCAAATCCGATTTTTTTTTCAATTTTGCTTTACTGTTGTGCGCAAAATCTTTGCCATTTTCGTGGACTCCTTTTACATGTGTAAGTAAACTATGTTTACTTGCAAATCTCTTGGCACATTTTTCACATAAATAATCCCTGAAAACTTCGTGGAATATTTTTTTGTGATTTATTAAATTCGATTTGTTTTCAAATTTTCTTTCGCACTTGTTGCACTTAAAATCCTCACGATCTTTATGTACTAATTTTTGGTGCGTAATCATACTTGATTTTTTAACAAATTTTTTCACGCACTGGTCACATGCAAAATCTTCGCGGCGCCTGTGCTCTGATATTTGGTGTCTACTCAAATGACTTCGGAACTCAAAATTCTTTTCACACTTATCACAAGCGAAATTTTTTTGTTCATTGTGAATTGTGTCTCGGTGTCTTATCATGCTCGATTCCAGTGTAAATTCGATCTGACAAATGTCACAGATGTGTTGTTTGTCGTTTGAATCAACATCGTCGCCTCCACTTAAGTTATTTTTCGAGGTAACTTCTTCTGATTTCATATCAATTTCATCCATTTTAGTGGCCTAATAAAACGATAAATCCTTTTATTTAATGCTACCAAAATTTAACGAGTAAAAATTATCTTCTAGTATTATGGCTTGCTTAGTTGGGAAAGACAAAATTCATACTAATTTATTTTCAGTGTATACATGATTAGTTTTCGGTACCAAGATCGTTTATGATTGTATTGTACTCAATTAAGTTACCGATTTTTCTGTTTATACATTGTTGTTACAACATTTAAGACAATTTTAAATGTCAACTTTATTACGATTCCTGCTAGGAATTTTTTGGCCTTCTAAAATTGAGTACTTACGAAAAAATTCCCTACAAACAAGTTTATAAAATAAACATCCAGTAAATAGATTGTCATGCACATGTACAAGAAAAATTTTAATGTAGTTGTAAATGAATCGATATTTTGAAGAATGTTTTGTAACCCCTTCATGTATATTAGGATTGCTACACGATGAGCGAAAAATTAAAATTCATTTTAGGGTAATATTGGTTTTCTGGAAAATTCTGAGATAAATAACTACGGAATTTGATAAAGGATGGAAAAATACAGCTTTTTCATATTATTATACGCGACTGAAAATAGAAAAATTAGTTTTTTTTTATTTAGTGCTGTAGAATTGCTCGCATGATCAAAAAAGTTTTATAAAATATTAATACGACCGTTTTTTGTTGAATAGATATTAATGAGTCAGTTAATTGGCCAATATTTATTATTTATTATTCCAAAAATATGAGTTTAAACCAAAATTCTTTGAAAAAAGATGAAAAATTTTTTTAAAAAACTAGTTTGTTCAAGCTTATAACCCAGACTCCCGCCTCTTGCTCCAATGAAATAATGCTCAGTAATGGAAATGAAAAAACACAATGACAAAGTTACAATATCTTCATGATCAATCGCTCGTTGTATTTCAAAAAAATATTATCCACCCCTCCCTACATCTTCGCACTCAACTTTCACACCATCGAGTCCTGAATATACATGATTGTTTTTTCGTTCATCTTATTTATAAAATATACAAGATAATGTACAAGCACTTGTGGCACTCGTCGAATTCCTCGATCTTGGCCTCGTACAGAGTCATCATCGTCGTCTCACCGTCGCCGTCGCTACCAGAGCTGGCACTTTTTTTTCGGATTCATCGACGAGCCCACGGGACAGCTGAAGGCCCGACTGAAGTGCTCGGAATTGCGCAGCGCCTGCTGCAGCCTCACGTGGCCGGGACAGTGGCTGTCTTGTAGCATCCAGAGCAGTGCGTAGCTGGTATAGGACTCGCACCACATCTGCCGCAAAAAAAAACCAAGTTTACTTTCGTCGATCTTTGTTTTTTTTTTTATGAATGGTTTATAATAATGGTAATTATTTACGTGCGCGTAACTCATGAAGAGCAACTGCTCGTGAGTGAAATTGCTGAAGCCGGGTAGGAGCGGCTCGTCGCCGTGCTTGGACTTCCACAACTGATAGGCCTTGTAGGCCTCTCGCAGGCCACCGTTGTCGGCTATGTTTTCACCAAGCGTGAGTTCACCGTCGATGTATTCGTCGACCTGAGTCGAAAAAAATTGGTTAAAAATCATCAAACTTTAACGAAATTTCAAAAGAAAATTTTAAAAAGCTGCAAAAATCTGAGAAAACAATCCCAGGAAAAAAAATAGGTTCCTAAAGCTTTATTTGTGGCAATTATCTGGTACCGTGTTCTACCCAAAATATGCCATACCTTATATTTTTTTGTAATAAAAAACGCATATGCCTTCCTCCAATAAGAATACCAATCAATATTCTAAATATTCTTCTTTGCAAAATACTACAAGATCGGTATTTGATTCCATGACTGTGCTGACTCAATTAACATTAAATCTTGTTTACACATTGATAAAAAATTATTTTGAAAAGTACGCCTTATTTTAAGAGTATGCCCTATATTTTTTTGAGACTCGAAAATTCGAGCACAAATTATTTTTCGTATTCGGCATATTTTCAGGTACCTTCGCCTGTGTATTCAATTTTTTTCTAAGATTTTTGCAGCTTTATTTTTTGTTAATTATTTTCTGAATATATTTGAATATCATATGCAATGTATTTTATTTTCTTTTTAAACATTCACCCGCCTTTTACTCAAATAATTCGAAAAATTTTTTTATTAATTCGTAATCTCTGTCACCTCGGGTAGGTAGTACTTGTCGTACTGCTCGACGAAGCAGGCCGCCCTGTCCGTGTATCGGGCGATCGTCTCGTTGCTCCACCACTGCTTGAGATTGCCGGAGCTGTCGAAACGCCGGCCCGAATTGTCGAAGCCGTGCGTCAGCTCGTGACCCAGTATACTGCCGATAGCTCCATAATTCAGGGCTCTTTGCGAGCAGAGCAGTTGAGAAAAGAAAGAAAAAAACAGAAGCAAAAGAAAAACACGAGTCAAGAACGATTTCTGTCGAATTTCAGTCGCTATATGTACATGATTTTTCAGCGCAACGAAATATGCAACGTGCGCAACACTTACTCGAGGCCCAGTCCGTAAAAGGGAAACTGCAGGATTCCGGAGGGAATTGCTATACGGCACGCAGGTAGAAAAACGTTTTGCGTTCGTTGTTGTCGTTGTTGTTTTTTTTTCGCACGCGACACACACACGCGCGCGTACACCAGAGTATATACCCAGCACCAGAAGTAGTAGTGGTAACGGCAAGCCAGATAACGTAGCCGGTTTGTGTTAAATGCGTTAGCGTGAGCATGCGTGAGATTATTTCAAAGTTAGTTTTGTTTTTTTTCTCTTCCATTGTGTTTATTAAACATTCGGTTGAGAAGTTTTTTTTTCTCAATTGCAACGCGTTTATGATATAATGTGTTTAGCGTACCTATTTGATTCTCTTGAAACGTGTGCACGGCATTGACGTCGGTCGGGTCCAGGGGCCAGCTATTGAATTACAGTTGTTTTTTTTTTGTTATTTTATGGTATTGTTAAATGTAAGGTAAAAGGTATTGAAAATACTACCCAGCTTCGTCGTCGTCGTCGTCGTCATCGGTGCCGTTTTCCGCCAAATCCATCAATCCGTTTATGTTCCTGACGCGTATTATCTGCAGCATATTGTTGAAATAGGCATCCTCCGTAATATTGATCTGAGGGCAGGGTTATTAAGAATTCAATAAAAAAAATTCACAAATCACGAATCCAATTTATACCTAAATATAATTAATTTTAATTCACGAAAGAATTTAATTTTTGAATTGAATAACGAAACAAATTGATTAATGGATTAAAATTGACTTGAATCTTTCATGATTTGAATCAAATTTTATATCTGTAATTTCTTTCAATTGTTCGTGCTCCAGGCAGTAAAAGTAACTTAGAGATTTTTCCAAAATATTTCTAGATATATTTAAAAATATGAAATTTGATTCAGATCATAAAAGATTAAAGATCAAGTTTAATTGACAAATCAATACGATTTATAAATTAAAATAAATTAATTCAAAAATCAAAATGATTCGCGAATTAAAATGAATTCAAGTCATTCGTCATGGAATCGGAATCAGAGAAAAAACATAATTACCCCGTCGTAATACTCGTCCAGCCGTCCATCCTCGAAGAGCCAATCGGGAAAGCCGATGAGCGACTTCATCCTGCGATTTTTCTCGAGGGTCGCCACCTTCGTGGGCCCGTCCATCCACTCGATGTCCTCCACGACGAAGTCTATGAAGGCCCGCTTGATGTTGTCGAGCATCTCGGCGACTCTGTCGCGCGAGCCGTCCCGCGCGAAGGCGGGCTCTACGACGAGCCAGGCCACGGCCATGCCCATCAGCTCGTTGACCGTGTCCGTGCAGTAGACCGACCAGCCTCGATGGTCCTGGCCCAGGCCCGTCACGTCGTTCACGTAGAGGTTCCAGATCTTGCGCAGCTCCTCGGACGTGTGGGGCACGCAGTAGTCGACGACCAGCCACCAGACTGCCGTCTCTGTATTGGGACGTTCAAAGTTAAACATTTTTTTTTTTTTTTTGATAAAAAAAACTGTCTCGATTACCCAAGATCTGCTCGTCCGTCGACGACAGCACGAGCGCGATCTCTTGGAGAAACTCGAGATCTCCGACGTAGACTTTCTGCTGGGCCGGATCGAAGTCGATCTCCAGCCCTTGGAGCAGCTCCTCGACGAAGGGTCGCCACAGTGGCCTCGGCACGATCGACTCGTTGACGGATCTCACGTACTCGTCGGTCTTCCGCTGGAGCTCGTCCAGCAGCATGTAGTCCTCGTCATCGACCTCCTCTGGCTCCTCACTGAAGTCGCTCGAAGACGACGACGAGTTCGTGTATTTAGTGTACAGCTATGGATCAGTAAAATAATGTCTGTAATTTATTGCAGAGAATCGAAGTCCCAATAAAAATTTCAAATAAGTTCTCGAGAAAGTTTTTAACACGAATTTACATAAGATCTTAGGTAAAATTTTACGTACTATTATCTACATGAGTTCTTATATCAGAATTGATTCATTTTTGAAACCCTAAATATGTAACTCAGGTGAAAATAGTATATCAAATCTCATATGAACGCATATCAGATCTTACATTTGATCTTGAATTAAGTCGTATTTTAGAACTTACATACGATAATCGGCATCGGAACTGACATAAAATCTTTACATCATATCCTCCATTAGATCGTTATCGATTATCATATGTAAGATCTAAGATCTAATGTGCGTTTATCAAAACTTTTGTAAGAACTCATGTGTAAAATAAAGGATGTAAAAAAAGATTATGTTTTGTAGCAGAGATTTATATCGTTTCTTAAAGCTAGCATTATGAGCTAAAAAAAATAATTTTTTTGTCGAGGTTTTTGGTCAAGATCTTACATAAGATTTAAAGTAAGATCTGATGTGAGTTATTATTTAAGTTCTTACTGCATATTTAGGCCTTTTGTGTTGAACCAACTTTTATTCAAGAACTCACGTAAGTCGTATTAGATGTATAAGAACTAATTGTACTTTCGATAATCATTCGTAAGATCTTATATAAGATCTATAACATTTACTGTCAATAATTTTCATACAAACTTATTCGACATTTTTATTGAATCGTCAAAATCAATTCGACTAACTTTGTAAAATACACCGCTGAGATTGAAGACCCGATCCACGAGATCGGTAATCTCGGCCTCGGGCACGATGTCGAATTCGTGGCGGGTCTTGCAGGTGGCCGACTCGCTCGTCCCGTTGCTGATGATCTGCTTGAGCACCTCGGCCATGTACAGCTTCTCCGACGCGGAGAAGGCCTCGTTGCCGCTCTTGCCTCGGGCTCGAGTCTTGTCGTCCTCGGCCTTTTCGCCTTGGTCGACCTGCTGCTCGTCGTCGTCGCTGATCAAGAAGTGGCGGCGCGCCCGCTCGCGCACCTGCCTCAGCCTCTTCTCCAGGATCTTGTCGCTCGGGAAGGGCGTGTCGCGATCCGGCAAATCGAACGCCAGTAACTTCTGCCGGTTGTCGCGCGGATCCGCGTAGACCTGCAGGCCGAAGAACGCGTCGGACCAGAGCATCTTCTTGACCCGTGCCATCTGCTTGACGAAGTCGTCATTGTCGTCGTCGTCTCCGTCACTTTTTTGCCTCGGCTTGATCGCGGCAGGCACCCGTGGTAGCTTCAGCTCGGCCAACAAATCGAAGAGAGGCTCGAGGCCGAGTTTGTACTGGGCCTGGACGTCGAGGCAGCTGGCGAACAGCAGCTGGGCCTCGTGCACGGGCCAGGGCACGTCCGACTTGAGCTCGGTGAAGTTCTGCACCATGAGGTCGAGTATGCGCCGCGACAGACGCACGCTTCGCTCCTTGAACCAGCTGTGCTCCTGGCTGAGATCGAGCGAGGGATGCACCTCCGGCCATCTACCGCACACGTATCTACGATTCGGAACGCGTAATGTAAATAATCGAAAGATCGAGTGATGTTCGTCGTTGTTTCTTACTTGTAAAAATCGTCGCACGGATTTACGGACGGGTCCATGGTCTCCTTCAAACTCGAAGCTGCATGTAAACGCGCAAAAATTGAAACTTTGAGAGATGCGCTTTTAGCGATCACACTTGAGTGTGTGCGTTCGAGGCACATTACATTACATTGTATTATTGTACATTGTATTATTTTAAAATTAAAAATGAAAAGAATGTTTTTTTTTCAAATTTGACCGTGCGAACTAGTTTATCTTTTTAAAAACTTTTAAAATATAAGTAATTATTGAATCTGAGTCATGCATATTTCAATATTTACAAAATAAGCAAAGTTTTAAGCTTTCGCTGCTAAAAATATTTACATTAAAATTAATAAGATTGAAATCAAATTTAAATACATTTTGATAAATAGTTCAACAAATAACTTTGTGCGCCTTTGATTAATTTTTATGTACTTATCTTTAACTTTCTACACTTAAAATGTAAAAAAAACATCAAATCAAATGGATTTGTTAGTTATGTTACGCCATGCGAGATCATTTTTCTCATCACTACTATGGGTTACAATAGTCGAGACTCGACTATGTGCAATAATCGTTATGAGAATTCAAAAGTAACTTAACGAGTTGTGGCCCATTCTCGTGATTCTGCTCATGCAGATAGTCAGCAGTTAGTCATAGATTTAAAGTAATAATCTGTTTCACGGGTGTGACGTAAGTTTTAATTGTTGTCAAACGTTGCGACACATTGGCAACTCTGAATTATGCCAAAAAGTGAACTTGCAGGTAGAATTAAAAAATATACATTGTTAAGCCAGAAAGGACAAAAATCTTGTCTTATACAATTATTTTGACGTTGCCACTTGCAGATTTACCGATAGAGGCGCACTCGCCATCTGGCGGTGAAGGCTGGCATTAATTTTGATTGAATTTTGATTTATTTTTGGAGCAATCGTAGCAAAAAATGCATCAGTATTAAAAAAAACACGTGTTTTTAATTGAAACGATAAAATTGGAATTCTGAATTAAATTATCTTCGTTCATATTTACATTAAAAATAATATATATGACTTAAGGAGGCTCAACACCAATCATAACAATAGTACAGCGAGGCATCTGTCTGTCTCTTTCTCGCATTAGGCAGACAATAGCTTGCACTATTCGAAATCAATGATTTTGTTTAATTACTCATTAGTTAGTTCGTTAAGGGGTAATTTTTAACATACCAATCTAAAGCTTGGAACTTTCTCTTTCGGAAAATATTTTTTATTAAGATGGTTGATCTTTTAAATTAGTTATAAACAATAAAAGACCGCGCCCCATAAGAGCCCGTGTTAAAATCGCCAATTTTAAACTTGTTTATCTCAAAAGTTAGATCGTCAACCACATGTTTTTTTTTTTTTGAATCTCATTTTGAAGATCTAACAAATCGATTGATATAAGTTTTATCTTGTTGGATGATCTTTTGTATTATGTGTAGAGCCTCCTTATCTTCAACGACGGTTTCGTGTAAAAGAACCTCAAGTAAAACTCAATATCCGTCGATTTTAACTCAAGGTATTTCGATGAAAATGCAAGTTTTGAATTATTAGCGATGTAGTTCGAGTATGCGTGAACACCTAATTAATAGATATTTCCGAAGAACGAAGCGTGCATAATATACGATACGTATATATGGCACAAATTGCACAGCTCGAGAGAGCTATAAGCTCGGCGCACTCACCTATTCGCATGCATTCCTCATTGTCGCACAAATCCATAGGCTTGCTAAACTTGGCATCTATAGAGAAAACGAATCCAGAACACGGTTGTGTCATTATAATATATACGTGTATCGTACGCACGTGCGCACCTTTTTATAGCACCTTATTTTACTTTATTTTTTGCTCTCTATATACTCACACATGGCGCCGAGCGTCAGGCAGGCAATCGTCAGCGCGCCGATCAGAAACGCGATGAAGAGCAGCGACAATTTTCTGCGATGCTTCTTGAAGCTGCGTGAATAATTGTTCGATCGATAATAATTGATAATACGATCGCAGGGGATTATTGTGTATATGTACTCACAAGGATTTTTTCGATTTCACGTCGACCAGCTTCCTCTTGCTCGCGCTGTCGTTGACGTTGACGGCCAGCGCCGATTGTGAATCTTTACCCCAAAAAAAAAAGAAAGAAAAAAGAAAATATGAAAAAATATAGATATTAATCGATAAACGTTTTGGCACGGATCTAACGCGTTCCACATTTCATAACGCACACTTATAACATATATAGGTGCTCTAGAGCACACACGCGCGTGTGGAGGTCGTCTATAGGTAACCGTGAATTCTGAAAAAATGAGCCGCGCTCGCGCGCGCGAGTTTAAATAATTGATCGCGCGACCATATAGTATACGCGGCGAGTATACTCGAGAACGGGTAAACAAGTGTCTAAATTTAAATATACAGAGACAACATCGACGATCGATCCGTATAAAAAGTAAAAATTATCCCAAAGACTCACCCCCGTTTCTGTAACTGGCGTCGTCTCCGGCTGCAGCTTCCGCAGCTGCGGCGGCCGTAGCGGACCGATCTTCATCGTCATCCTCGTCATCCTCGTCGTCGTCCTCGTCTTCGGGGCTATTATTATTGTCGTTATTATTGTTGTTAACGTAACGATCGCGAGTCGCTGCAACGACGGCGGCCGCAGCGGTGGTCGGACGATCGACGACGACGCTCGTTACGTTGCTCATGCTATGGCTTACTCTGCACAGGATGGCCCAGTGACTGACTGATCGAACTGACCGCAGAAGGCGACCGGGAGAGCGAAGCGGTAGTACAGCGAGGGGTTGTGTGTATTGTTACGTACGTATGTACGTATGTATGTGTGTATGTACACGCGACGTCGGACTTTTTCTCTCTCTCTGTCTGTCTGTCTCTACACACACGTACGCTTACTCGCTCGCTCGTGTCCGAACGACCGTTGCAATGGTAGTGGATGTTTCATCGTGTGTGACGACACACACACACAGCAGTGGTAGTAGTAAGGGCGCATCGATCAAAAGATTAAATCTGCCTCGTTATGTGACTCGCGGCGGGTTAAGCTTTTAATACAGCTTTAGGCACACACGTGTCCGCCGCGGCTTATGACACACTCCACGTTATATCTCTCCGTTTCATCGCTTTTCCTATTTTCTTCCTATTCTTTTTCTTCTTCTTCTTTTTTCTTTATCACAGGTGCAACGACCCATACGCGCGAAAAAAAATTTTCTTTCCGCTACGGCGCAAGGATCGAGAGCTTTTACTACTTGTCGTGCAATTCCACCCACGCGGTGGTCAATATTTTTCTATTTGTCAAATACGCGGATCGCAAATAGCGTATACACATAACTGAAACCGCTGCAGCTCGACACACACTGCGGCTCTTTTTCTTTTTATCGTGCGCTCGAGGTCGTCTATGCAAATATTTCGACAAAAGAAACTTAATGTATATAATACGTAACCCAGACCTACTCGGATTTCACTCTGAATTATTAAACCTCTTCGCCTTCTATTACGCGACAAATATACGATACGTTCATTAAAGGCATTAAACGTTCATGGATTTAATGTGAATCGCCGGCGCGATTATTGTTTACCTACTTGTAATAGACCCACTCGCGTGAAAATTTTAAATGTTTACTTGCGCGCGGATCGCTTCGGTATAGAGAGAAAAATACTTACTCGCGATCGTTCGCGTGACGCTTACGGTATCCGAGGAGAAAAAGAGGCCGAACTTTTTCTTCCGCCCCTCGAGCGCGGCGAGCTTTTTCGAGGAATTTCGAATTGTATAGCGGCGGGGGTCGCGAATAGAATTCAACTGCATTGGAATACATTACGAGCACGTGTGTGCAGTGTATAGCAATTTGGACGCTCGAACGTTGTATCGACATTTGCGCGACGACGCGTATACACGTGTGGGGAATCGCGAAGAAAGTTCAAATTTTTCGATCGTCGATAACGTACTTAAAAAAATAAAGCATTTTACAATCATCTCGCACGAATACTTTTTATTTGCACGCGCGCTACAAACTCGAACGATCCGATGGTCATTAAACCATAAAAAAAGAAGGCGCAGCTTTTATTAACAATTAAGGTCGTTCAACCGGGCCGCAATGTGTATTAACGTTATACACACGAAGACAATCGCTCGCGATCACGAAGCCGATGTTTCATAAAAAAAAAATAAAATAAAATAAAGGCAAATACAACGAGAGAAAGAGTAAAAAAGGATGAGCAGCGGCACGGAAATGCGTTTGCGTGCATTCGGGTCGTGGTGTGCATATAGGTGTGTACTTGTCGCGTGCGTCGCCAAGGCAACTTTTATTATTATTATCTCGAAATTGATTCGCTACTGGTAGTCGCGCGCGCGCGACCTTTCGATGCAAAATTATTCCCGAGCTGACGTATTTTGGATCGTATAAACACGAGCGTAATTCGATCGAAGTGCCACAGGACACATTTCGTTTTTATAAGGGTGGAGAGGAACTTTTCGATCAGTCATGGTTTATAATTGAAAAAATTGGACAAGTACTTAGTGTATCACAAGTCGACTTTTTTTTATTGAGTAAAGGTATACACGTTGATTGTTCGTTTTCATATAGTTAAAGTAATTTATACAGGTACAAAGGACAGTTGATCGATTATTTTTGCTTTTTTTTTTCATACACAAATCGACGAGAGCAGTAGTAGCGTCGCGCGCGCGCGCGCCAAAATTCATTCATTTTTTGTTTTGTTTTTTTTTTTTTCAATAGTATACAGTTAAAAATACAGTCAAGTATTTTTCGTAATTATCAACTATAACGAAGAGAGCAGCTTCATTCCCAGCCGTGTCCGTGATGCACGGGCTTGACCTCGATCTCGGGCTCGTGGTACTTCTCGTAGCCGATGAGATGGGGATGCGGGATGTGCGGATGATCGTAGTGTATCTTGGTGGACTCGCTGTGCACCTTGAGATGGAGCGGCTTGGGGTGCAGCGGCGGGATCGGATGTGGCTGGGCCACGTGGATCTCCTGGTGGTGATGCTCGGGCTCGTGATGCTGCGTATAAAAAAACGAAAATTCGATTTAACATTTTTTTTCGACAGATTTTTCGAGGGGGGGGGAGGCATCACTAGCACACTCCATTCGCTATGGCGATATCTGAGCCACTTGTATCGTATACACTCGTCTCATGTGTGTTTGCGATTTTTTTGTCGTGTAATGTTATATCGTATGGAGCGCGCGTCATTTTAGGATATGATTCTTTTTTTTTTTTGGTTTCGTCTTCTACGAACGAAGATACATTACGTGAGCGGATTGCCAAGGATTCCAGGGATTCCAGGCTTGCTTCTTCTGCCAGGGATCGATCCATCCGGCGCTCTTCTGCCAGGGATCGATCTGCCAGCCCTTGCTCTTCCACGGATTGCTCCAGCCGCTCTGACTCCAAGGGTTCTGTTGTCCATGTGTGTAGTTTTTTTTCGTTTCGTTCGTTTGTTTTTTGTTTTTGATTGACACGAGAGATTTTCAACAATTCAATGCGTGATTAAATAAATAATAAATTCATATTTTTTTCGTCGGCTGCAACAATGATTGTTCCGAAACGGAGGATGGCGACTAAGATACAAAGAAGTCGTGTGTGTTGTCCCGCGTGATTTCTGAATATAGTTTCAATGGATCGTTTTTTTCCAACAAAAATAATTGTTTCTTTGCACCCAATCGGACTCTCCCGTTACATCGCCAACGAATCTCTTCTAATGAAAAAAAAAAATAACAACTAAATCGTGAATTTTGATTTATACGGATTTATTTTTTTAGTCCAGGAGAAGAAGATTAATATCGAGCGAGAGTCTAACGCTGATTCTCGTGCAATCGGGTAAAGGGTGTTAATCGATCGTTTCTGCGTCTTCTTCCAGAAACTATGAATTAATGGCGCTTCTTCAATGATGTTTGCGCTTTGTGAAGAGTATCATTACGTATAGGTATTACGTGTAATTAAATCCACAATCACCCCGCATTCGTACACACGTCGCACACATGCGAGGCATGTGACACTCGTAAATCGTCAAAGGTCTAGATGGAAGTTAAAGGTAAAAGAGCTGCAGTAATTATGTAGCGACAGTTAGTGAAAAGTTAGAAGAGTCTCTTTGTTGTTTTCATTCATTTATAAGGGATATTATGCGCAATTACCTCGTAGCCTGGATAGGCACTGACTGCGGCCACCACGGCGAAGAGGACGATCTGTAAATTGAGGCAAAAATAATAAAAAACAAATATCTTTTTAAATAGCTCGTGTGCCTTTGAGAAAGACTTGGTTAATTTTTCATGAGATTTAACTAGTCCCTTTTACGTTTAGTACAGAGAGAGATCGATTTTACACAAATCAATTTTTTTCAATATCAATTTTATATACCAACGTTGAATCGATCGAAACTCTATAAACAAGCCAAACGCCGAGAAAACGACTATGAACTTTTTAAAACTTTTACATGCTACCATAAACGTGAAACGAATAAGAGGTCGAATTTTGAACTCATATAAAAATTAATAAAAGCTTCCATATATTATAACTATTATAATTTTTTTTTTAATTCAAAAATAGCTGAAATTTCTAGTAAAATAAAATATTAAAAAAATTGTATAACTTGTTTAAACTTTTACGAAATCTTTCAAACACTTTTGTACACTTTTACCCATATTTCGTTCAAAACTCAAAACAAATTGAAATTTTTAGCCAAAATTTAATAAAATTATTTTAATAAACTTTAAAAAAACTTTTTAACCGAAATAAAAGGTTGGTTTTAGACACAACAATTTCTTCGCAATTCACTCAATTTTTTTTGTTTCTTTTAACCCATAGAAAATAACGATCACTCACGAATTTCTCCTCGTGAAAAAAAAAATTTACTTACAACCAGCTTCATGTCGGATGAAGATTAATAGAGACAGAGACGAGGGGGGCAAAAAATTCACTAGTGCGTACGCGTGTGCGCGACTCAACCTCTGGTCCGTTCCTTACCTAGCTTATATACCCGCGTTTGGGTCTCAAAACCGATGTCCCCCCCTTCCTCCCGCTGCTTCTCGGTCTACGCAGAGAAGTGTACCAGCGGAAGACCTAGATAAAAAAAAATGACAGTCAGGGCGGGGGCCCACCAGGCCAGACTCGCATACACGTATAATATACACGTATAAAGTTGAGCCAGCGATCGCTTCTATGTAATTTATTGTACACATTCGCGCGCGTAGACATACATACAGCGCGTAAATGTGTACATTTGTCGAGCCCCTTTCACTAATCCGCGCGCGTATTATATCCACGCGCCGAAATGCAACAACTTGTGCACACCGTTCACTTGTTGCAACGCCGCCGCCGTCGAGCCCCCCGTATACAAAATATTCCATATATAAAATAATTATATACGATAGCGGCGGCGGCGGCAACCGGCTAATATGTAATAGACGTCCTGCAGCCAGCAGCAGCAGTATTGGGCAAACTCGATCGATTATATCATTTTGCTCGATTATATATTATATATTTTATGTATGGATACATCGACTCGATGAAAAAGGGCGGCACTTGCTACCTTAAAAAAAAGAAAAAATACCCGTCGACACCTTGGCCGAATTAGATCGAGACCATATTTAGTGCGCTGCGAATTATGATCTGTCGAGATTCCGGGATCGAAGTAAAATATTGGTCAATCCAACGTTGTATACGTTATTATGTTTGTCGTCGTCGTCGTCGTCGTAGCGGATGAATTCGAGATAAAATCGTTTTCGATCAACTCTACGCTATTTCACATCTCCTCTAATTGCCTGCGCGAGCGAGATATTAAGAAATCGCGGACTTTTCGAGGACGAATCGTCCTCCGAAGAATTCGTGCAAATTCAATTTTTTTGATGTAGAGAAAAAAGAGACGATCTCGTTCACAATTTTCAGTTCAAGGCTCGCAAGAGCGAGAGGCTGGCTTAGACGCACACGCGCATAATATATAAAATTGCATAATACACGAGAAGTACGCGATGCGCCGCTAAAAGGTGTCTGAGGAAACGCTTTCGAGGCTCGATCTTGAAAAATTCCCTCTCGCGCGCGTCTGTCTATTGTCTCATTATTCTTTTCGGTCGTTATCTTTTTTCTTTCTTTTTTTTTTTTTGCGCAATGTGGCGGAGAGCAGCTCTTTAGTCCAGCCTCTGCAGCATTCGAACGCTTTAAAAAAAAAGAAGGCAACGCACACGGACGATCGCGTCGGGAGCAAAGTAGCATTAGAAGCAGCGAATTTGTTTCGCAGAAGTCATAAAACTGCGAACGCAGCCGCGACTGATCATTGTGAAAGCTTAATACGCGCGTACATATAGATAGATACATAGTATATAGTATAAACACGCGAAACGAGCAGCATGTGTTGTTGCCGTTGTTGATTTTTTTTTTTTCATTTCACGCGCTAATACCGATTTGTCAATAATGCAATCTAACTGTACACACAGAACGACATCTAATTACGCGATCGTAAAAAGTCCCCACACTTTTCAGCATTGGCAAAATTCGACATGGTAATTACGACAACAATAATATAATGTATAATAAGCGATGAAAAGGCGGTTTTAAAATTTTGATTAATTCGTTTTCGGCACGCGTACGCACACCCGAGCTACAACCGAGTCTTACGTCACATTTACCATTAATAATAATTTGTGTGTATGCATTGCGCCGCACGCCGCCGAGTGTGCAGTAATAATAATTCGTTCCGATCTTTCGTCCGGGGCATTACCGTAATGCGCGTTCTGTCTCCTTTTTGCGAAGCTTTCTCGCGCGGGCGCGCGCGTGCAAAGATTATACGCGCGCTCGCGGTGCGAGTGCAATATTTAAATGTACGCTGTTGTGAAAAATTTGATGAAAAATCAGAAATTAAATTCTATCGACGTTGAAAATCAAGGTATTTTTTCACGTTAACTGTGAAATAAATATATGAAGACTAATGTTTTAAAACTGGACTTTTATTTGAATTGATTGTATAAGAAATCTATGAAAATTCAATCATAATTAATGCCAGTCTCTACCGCTAGATTGCGAGTGTCTAAATCTGCAAGTGGTAAAGTCAAAGTAATCGTTTATAAGTTGAATCACAGTTTTGAAAGAATACAATCGGTAATTTTTTATTTAGTAATTTTAAAAATATCAAGCGAATTTTGAACGACCCACAAATGTCAATTCAATCGTTTCAAAAAATTTGGATCACTTTTCAACCATATTTTAGTACGCTAATATCACTTTAAGACTCCACCGTTAGATGGCGAGTACCGATGTTTCTGTGAATCTGCAAGTGGCAAAGTGAAACTAATTATATAAGTTTTGAGAGAAAAAAATTCAGTATAAAGTGTAATTTCAGTTTTACATTATGAATTTATTATTAAAACTTTCCTCATCCACTAGATGGCGAGTATCTTTATTCGCAAATCTGCAAGCGGCAAAGTCCAAGTAATTGTATAAGTAAAGCACGGTTTCAGTACAATCCAACAATTTCTCTTGGATATTATAAGTTTGTTTGAAATTCGCCCGATTTCGACGCGTGCATCGATTAAAAATCTCGCTCATGTCGTGCGTATACTACACGTTATACCGAGAAGAATTACCGAGCGCGTTTGCAAGAGGCGTCGTGACGCGCTCGACTTACTGTCTGGCATTAGATGACGACTGCAAAAAAAAAGGACAAAACAAAACAAAAAAAACCGATGATAACGTTTCCTCAAAACTAGTATCGCGTTCACGATCTATTCGATTGTATCCACACGCGGACGGCATCGCATCGCATTTCGAGCTCGTGTGTTTGCTATTGAAACTACATATTTTGCTAGGCGCATTTCTATAGATCCGAATAAAGCAACGCTTCTCGCGATCATCAAAAATGCAGGGCCGCCCGCCTTTGATCGGGCATCGTGCGTCGTTATTTTCTATATTGTTATTGTTATTGGTGTCGCAAGCATCGATCTGCGTCCGGGCGGCGGACTTGGCCTCCTACGTCGTCGATACGCAAATCGTGCCCGATGCCCTGGACGAGGCCCCCAAGGAGCTACTGTCGGTAAGGGCTTCGTTTCAACTGATTTTGTATAATTTTTTTTTTTTTTTCCTATTTATGAATATTTTATCATCGTCGCACCCACCACAGGTGAGCTACGGCGGTAAGCAGGTGCAAGTGGGCGAGGAATGGACACCGACCGCCTGCAAAGACCCGCCGACGATCGACATGCACTACGATCCGGCCAAGTTTTACACGCTGATAATGACCGGTACATTAATAATATATAAAAGTCATGAAGCTTATACCTCAAAAATAAAATAAATAAAAAAAATAGAAAATACTAAAAATTCAATTTTTTTTTCTTTTTTCGCCAAGACATCGACGCGCCGAAACGCTCCAAGCCGACCTATCGCGAGTTTCTCGCCTGGTGCGTGGTGAACATACCCGGGGATCACTTCGCCGCGGGCCAGGTCTTGGCCGAGTACTCGGGCATCGGGCCGCCCAAGGACAGCGGCGAGCATCGTGTATTATTCACGCTGTACGAGCAGCAAGGCAGCCACGAGTACGACGAGAAGTTTATAGACAGCAGGCAGCTCGGCTGGCGATTGTGGTTCTCGCAGCGGAATTTCAGTAACAGGCACGGCATGGCCAACGATGGGCAGCCCGTGGCCGCCGCGGTACTAGTCGCCAATTACGACCAGTACTCGGACAAGCTCGCCGACGAGTTCAAGAAGAGATTGAAGATGTGAGATCTTCTCTTTGGGAATTTCGACGATTATTGTGCCGATTGATAAATAAAATAAATAATAAATAAAAACTTTTACGTATATAGTCGATTTTTGATGTAAAGGGAGAAGAAAAAAAATGTTAGCCAAGTTTCAACAGGAATTGAGAGAGACGCGTGAGTATCACCTGCTACATGCACAACGTTACAGATTTTTTTAACTTTTAATTACGCCGAGAGCCGAGAAAGTAGGCCGCGACTCTCGAGAGATAGATAGATAGATAGATATATACGCTGGAGCCACTCTGCGATCATCGACGATTTTCCTCCTTCTCCTCCTCCTGCCTGGATAGACGACTATTATTATCCCGAAGCGCGTAATATCCTTGGACTAGCGCGCGCGTGTAATACCGCTTGCTGTACACGCGATAATCCTGCCGTGCCTGCGGCGCGCGCGAGCTTTTCAATTCGTAATCGTACGAGCGGAGTACAAATTAATTAAAGAAAAAATAGAAGAAGAAGGAGAAAAAATTAGTTAAAGGGGCCGGAAGCTGACGATGCGCGAGAACGCATTATACACACTTTGTTTTTCTTTTTTTTTTCACTCGCGCGCGTGTGTGTGTGAATTGAAGATGCGGAAAAATTTACAAACAATTATGAATCGAATTTTCTTCGGTATTTCGCAAGCGATGAGAGAAAAGAAATAAATAAACGAATAAATAAATACAAACATTGGGAAAAATTTAGACACAGCTATCAATTATGACTTTTCATCGCGTCGCGCGTACAAAAAGTTGATTCATCCTTGCGGCTTTGCTCCAGTTCTCCTTTTTTAAAAGTGACCTCACACACGCGTTGAATTTCAAACGAATATGAATCCCCGAAGGATAAATATTTCGCGCGTTACACGTGTATAATGTTATACGGTGCGCGCGTGTACAACAATTTATAATGTAATAACAACGACGCGACCGCTTGTGCGTGTCGAGTACAATTAATTTCGCGATGAACCGACGTTAATTAATTACATCGCGTCGTCTTTCTCTTTTTATGCAAAAAAAAAAAAAACAACAAAAGACTTTCGATTTCTATAATCTAATCGCGGTAAACCATTTCTCGATTTTACGTAATGCATAAAAAGCAACAAAAAAAAAATAGGAAGAAAGAGAGAGAGAGGGAGGAAAAAAAAATTTTATGCATTTATCAACGCCCCGGTATAGATCATAAATTGCATAAAACGAAAGTGAACTAGTTCTCATGTGCCTACTGCCTGCCTATTATATAGGCGCGGATGCGTAACTTTTTGCGCAATAATATCTCTCTCTATGCACACCCGTGCGGTATATACGAATCTCCTCTCGGTTTTTCTGTATATATACCGATTATCAACGCGTTCGCCTCTAAAGATCGTTAACCCAGGATATCGATTTTATTGTGCATATATAATGTGCATATCCCATAAGGCGCGGAGCGAAATATTATCATTATCGTTATATTCACTTTTAGGCGCGATCGGCGCGCGTGGAAACTTTCACCTATTCACGAATATATTATATTATGCATGCATATAATATTTATAAAGTGCCGAGAGCTATTATTATGTGGATCGACGGGGTATTATGATGCGTGTCTGGTAAATCGATTATCTCACCTTCGCTTTCGGGCAATTGCGTAATCGTCGTCGTCGTCGTCGTCGTTCGCTGGAATCTAAGCGATTTTCCTCGCGCATCGAATTCTCGCGATCGATCCCTCCGCATCATCGTAACGAACGCAAAAAAATAATTGTTTATCAAATCCCGTCGCTGCGTCGCTGCGCGTCGCCGATCACACGCACACACACATATAGCTGTTAAATAATTGACACCGTATACGACAAGGTCGCGCGCAGCAGCGAGCTTCTTTCTAATGTATTTTTCAACGCAGCGATATTGTGGTTTTGGACACAGAGAGAGAAAGAGAGACGGTTATTTTTTTTTTTTTTAACATAATAAAAAGAATATAAAAGCAAAATAAGAAAGAAGCGACGAGCGACACCTTGGCAACACACCTCGACTATAATGCATACACACGCACGCGTGCGGTCAAATATCATTGTTACATTAATAAAATGATGCGCAATAAAGGACTCGTTGATATTATATTGTTATGCGATTCGCGAAGAAAATTCGCGAGCTCGCGGCTAGTCTGAGTCGCGTCTGTTTGCGCCTGTTGATAAGCGACAAGTTGCGGGCGCTGAAAAAGATGCAAAAATTCATGAGTATCGTTTCGGAGGCAGTGAAGGCCTCGGCGGCGGAGAAGAGGCGCCGGGGCAGGACCACGGCTACGAAGGGCGGCATACTCGTCGTCGCGGGCATCGTGTTCGGCTGGGTGCTCTGGCCGATGATGCTGAATTTCGCGATACACAGGGTGAGTTTTCGTCGCTTGCGTATATTTTTGGATATACATATATATATGGACGTGATTTTTTTCACGCACGATGTGTGTTCCGTGTGCTCACACGCAGCAAGTGGCTCTGAGGCCCGGCAGCAAGGTGCGCAAGATCTGGCAGAAATTCCCGTTTCCGCTTGACTTCAAGATCTATCTGTGGAACGTGACGAATCCGGACGAGGTGACCAAGGGCGAGAAGCCGGTGCTCAACCAGATCGGGCCTTACTTCTTCGAGTGAGTCGATGAATCGATGCCATAAAATTAATCGGTCATTGGAATGGGGGATATGTATCGTTTTTGACATTTTGTCACCGCATAATGCTCCACGTTTATTTTATTACATTTCATCGCCCCCAGCGCAGGAAGGTATCGCTACCAATTCTGCAGCGTAAAGGATACTTACTCTCGCGCAGAGGCAAAACGGTAGCTAATTCGAGCGCGGCACCAAAACAGTACCTTGTTCAAACGCATGAATTTCAACATTCAATTTTCAACATTTAATTCAAAGTTATTCAAAGACGATCACTTCTACTTTCCTCTCAGAACATACAAAGTTCTCCATAAGTGGCAAATTGAGTCGAAATCACGGTGAGATTGATTTGTTTGCTCGCATTACAAATGCATGAAAATCATTACAGCAGCTCATATGTTCTTTTATTTTATTATTTATTTATTTATTTTTTTTTTTGCTCAAATACAAAACAAAATTTTATCATCTACGGCTGCTTTGCCAGCCTAAATTCAGCGAGTCAAAACTTTCTTGCCACTGCGTTTGAATGAGGTACTGTTTTGCTTCTACGCTCGAATTAGCTACCTTTTTGCCTCTGCGCGCGAGTAAGTATCCTTTATGCTGCAGACTTGCGAAAAAGGTTCAATATGAACTATTAAGTCGGAGCCGTGCTGGGACTTATATAATTATTTTAAATTTGCCACTTGCAGATTCACAAAAATAAAAGTACTCGCCATCTATCGATGGAAGCTTAAAGTAGTATTGTCGGATTTAAAGTAGTAGAAAACTGATCTAAATTGTTTGAAACCACTTATACTGTAGCACTAGTGGTAAAACTTGTTTTTTTTTGTTTCAAATTTTGTTTTTGTTCTTTTGTTTTCCGTCATTTTTTAATTTTTCATTTTATCAGTGAACTAAATTTAAGGGCTTAAGATGATTTGAAATAGAAAAAAATATTTTGTTTTTTTTTAAATTTAAAAATTCTACAATTTTAATTTTTCACTGAGATATAAAGCTAGATATCCATGTGCTTTTTTCATACACTTTACGAGTGACATTTTTTCTTATTTTCTAAAAGCACCCCTACCCGTCGTGTAATCTGCACAAACACTTTTACAAATACCACTACAATTTCCATCATGAGCATATACTCATTGAAAGACACTCATTGGTTTACCTCACCCGAGATAGTGGCTGGGAATCATCATGTTTTAAAAACACGATTTGTCAGAAAACAAAAGCTTTTCTTCAATTCAATCGATTAAAAAAAAAAAAAAAATAACTCTTCGCTCCGACGTCGCAGAGAGTGGCAGGAAAAAGTCGACATCGTCGATCGCAAGGAGGACGACACGGTCGAGTACAGTCTCAAGAACAAGTGGATCTTCGTGCCGGGCAAGAGCGACGGCCTCGACGGCCAGGAGGAGCTCGTTATGCCGCACATCTTCATGCTGGCCCTGATAATGGCGGGTGTGCGCGAGCGGCCCAAGGCCATGCCCATCATCAACAAGGCCGTGAACAGCGTCTTTCGCAATCCGACCTCGCTCTTCGTCCGGGTCAAGGCCATGGACATGATGTTCAACGGGCTGCCGATCGACTGCAACGTGACGGATTTCGCGGGGAGCGCCGTGTGCTCGCTGCTGCGCGAGAAGGCCGAGGGCACCCTGCAGATCGACGGCCCGGATCAGTATCGCTTCTCGCTGCTCGGCGCCAAGAACGACACGCCCTCGCTGGCGCGCACCCGCGTACTGAGGGGCGTGAAGAAGCTCAAGCAGATCGGCACCGTGGTGGAGCACGACGGCAAGGGCAATATCTCGAAGTGGGACGACGAGTTCTGCGACACGTTCAACGGCACCGACGGCACCGTGTTCCATCCGAAGCTGTACGAGGACGAGGACATCGTGGCGTTCTCGCCCGACCTGTGTCGCAGCATCAGCTCCAAGTATCGCAGCAAGTCCAAGGCCAAGGGCATCAGCACGAATCATTACGAGGCGTCGCTGGGCGACCCGAGCACGATACCCGAGCAGAGGTGCTACTGCGAGGCCGAGGACAAGTGCCTGACCGCGGGCATGATGGATCTGTACAAGTGCGTGGGCGTGCCGCTGATCGCCACCCTGCCGCACTTTTATCTCACGGACAAGCAGTACCTGACCATGGTCGACGGACTGAAGCCGAATCCGGTATGCACGCGCTTGTTCTATACTGTTATATACACTGAGAAAAAAAAAATTCATTGATTCAATGAAATCAAATTTAATATTTTATTTACTATTAATTGAATCAAACGATTGATTGAAGCAATGAAATTTTGGTAAAAACGATTAAATATTTTGTTGGATGAAATAAAAATTCATTATTTCAATGAAATTATTTCATAGATTGTATTTAAATAAATATTTCATTGCATCGTATTAGATCGAGAGATGAATAATAAGACTTGTGAATTATAATTAATTTTTTTTTTTGTAATAAACCGTTCCTGCTGCTCAATATGATAGATATTCTAATTTTGTTTTATAACTCTAACACTACAAATTAATTTGTAAACAAATTTAAAAATTACTGAGCAGTAACATAATTTTTCTCATTGTTTCAATTTATGCCCACTTCACTATGTACAATAGGAAATTTTACAGAAAATATACTAATTTTAATTTTGAAAGTTTTTCAGTGTAATCATGTGTATTTTGATTGAGATGAAATTAACTGCGAGAAATTATAATCTACAGTACATCAATTACTTATTTATCTAATTTAATATAAGGTCGATGTTAAGTTAAGATTCGTATGAGTCAGGCTTTTTGGTCATCTTTGTTATTGCGCGAGATCGAGATCCATCTGTATTTCGACTGTCACCTTTATAAGAGTTTACTAGCTAGATTTTTGAGCATGGAGGGTCACAGTTCTATAGGCGTTCATCGCGTCTATATGTTATGAAGTAGTCTTTTAGAAAATTGCAAAAGTGAATAATTATCAATTGATAAACGTAAAATTAAAAAAAAAATTTTTTTTAATAAATAACTTAAAAATGGAAATAATAACCACGAAGATTCATTTCTCTGACTCTCGCTGTCGTTCGTTTTTTTTTCTTTTTGCAGGATCAGCACAAGATATTTATCGACTTCGAGCCGTTCACCGGCTCGCCCATCAGCGCCCGCAAGCGAGTCCAGCTGAACATGATGATCTTCCCCATCGACAAGGTGAAGATCATCAAGACGTTTCCGCGGGCACTGCTGCCGCTGGTCTGGATCGAGGAGGGCATCGTGCTGCCCAACTGGATGATCAGGCAGCTGAAGCTCAGCCACTTCGCCATCGGTTTCATGGGGTAAGTTGGTAATTTACCTCGACGAAACATAAAAAAAATATAAATTGCTCGATTTCTTCGAAAATCCTGGAGCAGATTCGTCAAGTGGATGATGATACTGACGGGTCTGGTCATGTGCGGCTTCGCCGCCTACCTCATGACCGCAGCCGACGGGGCGAACAAGGCCACTGTCAAGTCGGCCAATATCGAGAACGAGAAGATGTCCCACAGTCCCAATGGCAAGAGCAACGGCATCAAGACCATATCGGCTCAGTTGCCCGTGTCCGTCGATTGAGCACGAACGAGGAGCAGATTAATTTTCTTATATACAGCTAATTTAAATGTTTTAATTCAATCGTTTCTGAACTTTTCTTCATTCGAGTCTATGTGTTACCGATAAAAATTGTAACGTTTTATTTATATACAGATCTTGAAAACTTAAAACTTTTTAAAAATTTATCGAAACAATTTGTCAAGTTTTTTTTTAACACCCTACTAAATGTACGTTTTTACTTTGATATTTAGGGTGTGGAGAGTAACGAAAAAACGGCTACTGATGATTCATTGGCTAAATTTTAAACGTATCATCGATTTGACAAGGCTATTCTTCGAAAATAAAGTTATTCAAAAATTACAAAAAAAAACGTAAGAAGTTAATGGTCTAATATATTTTTTAAATTTCATCCATATGTAAATCGACTAAAGAAGCAAGTCTTTGATCCTAATGAAAAGGGAAATCCATCGTTGAAAAAAAAATCAAAGCAAAATCCACTATGTTCTTTATGACCAATTCACAAAGCTTTGCTCTACAGTGTCAACTATTGCCACCTAATTTTTTAATACGAGCAGTGGAGGATTGAAAAATTTATGAAAATCGTTCACTACTGTATGAACTGTACTGTGTATGATGAATTAAGAGTCACGTACCATTACGTGAAAATTATTAAAAATCCTATGGCCAATTAAGGGCTTTTTATATAGACTCAGTCGATAACAAATGCGTAATTATTTTGTACCCATTTTTTTATTCTCTAGGCAACCATTAAACTTGACATTTCAGACATCATTTTTATATAAATTCTAAAAAAAAACTTGTTCTTAAATTACATCTATACATAAATTTCTACATATATTTACAATTGTCAAGAAAAAATTCAGCGCTTGTCACAATATTTCACTGATGAAATGCACGCTTATCCTCTTACGAAATGTTGTAATCATGTAACTGCAATGAATTTGGGGTATGTTCATAAAAACAGTACAATATTCATAAAAACTTCCAATTTCTTTACGACTCTATATTGCGAGACATATGACCGTCTTTTGATTAAAAAGTAATCATCGAAATGTATGGGCTCTTTTTTGGTGTTTTTTCAAATTGCCTCGATATCCAAATTTCATTTCACACTTGTCACATGCATAATCGCTGCAACCTTCGTGAACTGTCTTTTGGTGTAAGAGCAGATTCTTTTTTTCCGTAAATTTCTTTTCGCACTTGACGCACACGTAATCTTTGCGACCCTCATGGACTGTCCTTCGGTGGGTCAGCAAATTCGACTTGTATCCAAATTTCTTCTCGCATATGTCGCATGCATGATCTCTGCGACCTTCGTGTACTACCTTTTTGTGAAAAAGCAAATTAAATTTTTGTGTAAATTTCTGACCACATTGGTCGCATACGTGACTTTTGACACCTGCATGAACCGTATTTTGGTGTACAACCAAGTTACATTTTTGTCCGAATTTCTTCTCACACTTATCACACGAGAAATCTTTCCGACCTTCGTGGATGGTCTTTTGGTGGAAAAGCAAATGGGATTTTTGTCCAAATTTCTTCTCACACTTATCACATGAGTAATCTTTGCGACCCTCATGAACTGTCCTTTGGTGAAAGTGCAAATTCCATATTTGTATAAATCTCTTCTCACACTTGTCGCATTTGTAATCTTTGCGACCTTCGTGAACTGCATTTTGGTGCCGAAGCAAATCTACTTTCCTTACGAATTTATTTTCGCAATAATCGCATGCGAAGTCTTTGTGAATTTCGTGTACTGTCTTATGGTGCAGCAACAAATATGATTTTTTTCCAAATTTTTTCTCGCACTTATCACATTTAAAGTCTTTATGACCTTCGTGAACGACTTTTTGGTGGTAGAGCAAACTACTTTTATGTCCAAATTTCTTTTCACACTTGTCGCATGGATAATCTTTGTGAACTTCATGAACTATTTTTATGTGTTCGAGGAAACTCGATTTTTTGCTAAATACCTTCCCGCATTTATCACATAAATTATCTTCTAAGACTTTGCAGTCGAAATCTTTCAGACCTTCGTGTTCTGTGTTCTGGTGGAAGAGCAAATGCGATTTTTTAACAAATACTTTCCTGCACTCGTCACATTCAAGATCTTTGGAACCTTCATGGACTCCCTTTACATGTGTGAGTAAACTGTGCTTAGTTGCAAATCTTTTGGCACACTTTTCGCATAAATAATCTTTAAAAACTTCATGGAATATTTTTTTGTGTTTCATTAAATTCGATTTATTTTCAAATTTTCTCTTGCACTTGTTGCATGAGTAATCTTTGCGGCTTTTGTGTTCTAATATTTGGTGTCTGCTCAAATGACTTCGAAACTCAAATTTATTTTCGCAATTGTCACATGCAAAATTTTTATGATTAATGTCAATTTGGTCTCGTTGTGCCTTCATGCTTGATTCTGGTGCTAATGCCTTCTAATAAATATTACAAATATATTGTTTGTCGTACGAAACATAAGTGTTTCGATCATCTAAATTATCTTCAGACGCAACCTCTCCAGATTTCTTCTTACTTTTTTCAATTTTGGTATCCAAATTAAACGTTGGATTCTTCTATTCAAAGTCACAAAATATGAATAAGTAAAATGTATCTTTTAGTATTTTGGTTTGTTTCATATGTGAAAGACAACAATCAAACTGATTTGTTTTTGCTACAAACTTGAACAGTGTGTTGATGGATTATATAAAAGCTGCTTTTGATCATATTATTTACAATTGAGTTACCGATTTATTCGTTATACATTGTCACTACAATATTCGAACCAGTTATAAGTGGGAAATAGAAAAACAAACTGAGGAATCAAAGGAGAAAACTTGACTTTTGACCTAAAACGTATCATTGTAAAGAAGAAAAGTTTTAGAGGTAATGTATTTGAAAAATTTATGGAATTTCATCATTTACCCGTAGGTACCTTGTCTATTGTACGCATAAGTTGGTCGCTTGAAATTTTCAATTACGATAAAAAAATATTGATTGATCGAGATCAGGTTTGAAAGAGGAATTTAATCTAACGATAATTGTAAAAGTTGGCAGCGAGACGTACTTGTAATTGTGAAGCACCTCCAACGTGGCATTGACCAAAAATATAGTGACAGTTAATGGAAGAAAGTACCAATAAGACGAACGTGTATATCGGCATCATTTTTATTCAAATTTTAAAATAATTTGTTATTAATTAACACCTATATAGGTTCTTATATGTAGTTATAATTATCGAAAAAATCAGCGCTTGTCATAATTTCAGTGATAAAATGCACACTTTTTCTTACAAACTATTCTAAAAGTACATTCTTATGGACAGTAAATTATTTATAAAAATTTAAATAAAGTCTTTGCTACCTGCATGAACTATCATTTGGTGCCTAAACAAATCCGACTTTTGACCGAATTTCTTGTCGCAATTATCGCATGCGTAATCTTTGCGACCTTCGTGGACCATTTTTTGGTGTACGAGCAGAGTGGATTTTTGTCCAAATTGTTTCTCGCATTTATCGCATGTAAAGTCTCTGCGACCTTCGTGAACTGTTTTATGATGTAAGATCAAGTACGATTTAGTTCCATATTTTTTCTCGCACTTGTCGCAGGCAAAATCTTTGCGACCGTCATGAATTACCTTTGTGTGTACAAGCAAACTCCTATTTTCTGTAAATTTCTTTTCGCACTTGTCGCATGCAAAATATTTTCGACCTTCGTGAACTGTCTTTTGGTGAACGATCAAATTAAATTCAAGTGTAAATTTCTCCTCGCACTTTTCACATGCGAAATCTTTGCGATCCTCGTGGATTGTCTTTAGATGAGTGAGCAAATTCCTTTTTTCTGTAAATTTTTTCTCGCATCTGTTGCATGCGTAATCTTTCCGACCTTCGTGTACTGTCTGTTGGTGCTTGGACAAGGCTGATTTTTGTCCAAATGCCTTCTCGCATTTCTCGCATACGTAGTCTTTCTTACCTTCATGTACTAATTTTTGATGTATTTTTAAATTGTGTCGAACACCAAATTTCTTTTCGCACCTGTCACATGCGAAATCTTTGCGACCTTCATGGATGGTATTTATGTGCACGAGTAAACTATTTTTCTCTGTAAATTTCTTCTCGCACCTGACGCATGCAAAGTCTCTGCGACCTTCGTGGAACGTCCTTTGATGGTAGTGCAAGTGGCTTAGAACCCCAAATTTCTTTTCGCATTTGTCGCATGCATGATCTCTGCGACCTTCATGTACTACATTTTGGTGCCTGATTACATCAGCTTTTCTTCCAAATTTCTTCTCGCACTTGTCGCATGCGAAATCTTTACGGCCATCGTGTACTGTCTTTTGGTGCTTGGACAAGCCTGATTTTTGTCCAAATTTCTTTGTACATTTCTCGCATACGTAATCTTTCTGACCTTCATGTACTACTTTTTGATGTTTTCTCAAATTGCTTCGAACGCCAAATTTCTTTTCGCACCTATCACATGCGAAATCTTTGCGATCTTCATGGATGGTATTTATGTGTATGAGCAAACTCCTTTTTTCTGTAAATTTCTTCTCGCATTTGTCGCAGGCAAAATCTTTGCGACCTTCATGTATCGCCTTTTGGTGCAAAAGCAAGTGAGAGTTTTGGGTAAATTTATTATCACACTTGTCGCATGCAAAATCTTTCCGACCTTCGTGAACTGTCTTTTGGTGAACAATCAAATTACATTTAAGTGTAAATTTCTTCTCGCACCTATCACATGCAAACTCTTTGTGACCGTCGTGTATTATCTTTTGATGCCTGATCAAATCGAATTTTCTTCCGAATTTTTTCTCACAATTTTCACATGCGTGATCTTGGCGACCCTCGTGGAGTGTTGTCGTGTGCAAAAGCAAACTCGATTTATTATCAATTTTTTTTCTGCAATAGTCATCTTTGAAGACTCTTAAGACACAATCTTTTTTTTCAAAAAGCAAATTCGACTTTTTTCTAATTTTCTCCTTACTGTTGTCGCTTGCGAAATTGGTGCGACCATCGTGTACTGTCTTTATGTGTTTGAGTAAACTATGTTTATTTCCGAATCTCTTTGCACATTTTTCACACAAGTAATTTTTGAAAACTTCGTGAAATATTTGGTTG